TGGGGCCGGCCCATCAGAGCTCTCTATTGGTTCACTGCTTCATGACAATATGTTGCATTCACATCTTGGAGCACTGGGCTGATGTCTGGTTCTTCTTTCTCTGTGGAGATATAAACAATCCCTTCCCCTTGGGTGGGTGAGTGCCCTGCTCCACTGCTACTGATGTCATTTTATTTCTCGCTTCCCCTTTCTTTTTAGTTGGCTACCATTTGTATCCCTGAATTTGGTCTGGCCCCTGCCATACTACCTGGACCTCACCCCAGGAACCTTTGTATACAGTAGCTTTCCCTCTATGCCCCTTTTGCATTTTTAAGCTTACCTCAGCGGATTCATGTTGTACTTGTCCTTTTGTGTTTGGCTTACTTCACTTAACATGATTTCCTCTAGTTCTTCCCATGCGGTGATGTGCTTCATGCATTCATCTCTGCTTTTTAGGGATGTGTAGTACTCCATTGTATGTATGTATCACAGTTTCTAATCCATTCATCTGTTGATGGAAATTTGGGTTGTTTCCAACTCCTTGCAATTGTGAATTATGATGCAATGAACATTGGAGCACAGATGTCTGGCTGTGGGTTGTTTCTTGCCTCTTCTGGGTATATGCCCAGTAGGGGGATTGCTGGGTCGTATGGCAGCTCAAACTGCATCTGTTTTGGATAACCCCTAATTGATTTCCATAGTGGTTGTACATGCCTACATGTCCACCAGCAATGGATGAGAATTCCTGTCTCACCACAGCCCTCCAACACTTGTTGCTTTCTAATTTTTGAATTGGACTTTCTTTGAGGGTGTTAGGTGGTATCTCATTGTTGTTTTAATTTGCATTTCTCTTATGGCTAATAATCTGGAACATTTTCTCATATGTTCATTGGCAGAAATTTGGATTTCTGCCCTTCTATGCTTCTGTTCAGGTCCTTTGCCCACCTCCTCAGGGGGCAGTTAGTTGTTGGTTTTTTTCTTTTTGGAAGCTAGCAGAGTACTGTAGATTTTAGTGATAAGGCCCCTATCTCATTGCTAAAAATGTTTTCCCAGTTGGTTGGCTCTCTAATTACTCTCTTGGTGAATTATTTTGATGTACACAGGTATTTTATCTTCAGTATATCACACTTGTCAATTTGTGACTCATCAGTATTTGTGTCCTCTCCTATTTCCGATAGTCTGTGTATTCCTTGCACCAAAGTTCTCATGTTGGTCCCAATTCTCTCATTGTATTTCCCTTTGGTGCATGGTCTTTATCTCCTCTATAATTTCATCTTCTTTCTGTATTGCTTCACTCATAGGCTGTATGACTCCAAGCAGCATTCTGAAATTTTCTTTCTGTGGCAGATCAATGTCTGCTTCTTCTATGCCCAATGCTAAGTTCAGGACATCGTCTAACATTGCCTTTTGTTTCTCCTGTTTTTTCATTGAGTTCGTTTGGCCTGGTTGCTGTTTGCATTGCGTTGTTTTAGAGGATCCTGGTGCCATTTTGCAGAGTCAAAGAGCAGTAGGCTCTTTGTGGGAGATTCATAGGAATGCTTCTTCTAACTGCTGACAGCTAATTGCACTATGAAATCGGTCTACTGCTTTATGCTCCTGTGGCTTCACTCTTTCCCGAGTCAACCAGTATTCTGTTATTTGGAGGGCAAGTTGAATGGTATTCTCCGGGGATGCTGGTTGGGTGGTTGTGGACCTGCGAAGATGGTGTTGCACTGGGTTATCTCAGAAGAAGTCATGATGGTGTGGCCCACAGCAGCTTGGGGCACCATAGAGGACGTGCGGGGGTGCCTACTGCAACAGGAGTGCCATAGAAGGCGGGCCGGATTTCCCTGGAGGAAGGTGGGCAGGCTTTTCCCAGCCTCTAGTTATGCTGCAGAGTTTGGAGCTCTCCCAGCTGGGTGGAGGGCAGATGTAAATTCCCTAGGCTAAGTGGAGTGGCCTGGAGGTTGGCAGTGGTGTGTGAGATAAGTGGGAAGAGAAAAAGAGGGGTGAGGGGGAGAAAGGAAGGAAGAAAAAAACAGCCTGCTGAGACTGTGGTGAGAAAGGGAGAAGAGAGAAAAACAAAAGTAATATGTTTGAGCCCTGATCCTTGACCGTGGGGCCGGAGGGGTTTATACCCTGCCCTGAGGGAGTGGCAAGCTGGGGCTGTTTTGAGATAAAGCCGTTGGGCTGACTCCAAATGATCCCGGCTCTGGCCAAGACAGTGATGGGGCTAAGGTTAGACCGTAGCCGGCCTCTACTGTGGTAAGCCAAAAGCCCCCAGCTCCTCAAAACCTAGTGGATCTGTGCCTACTTATCTTTATGATGCTTCTTCTGCAAGCCAGCAGTGTGGAATTTCCCTCTTAGTAACTCTCCTGCACTGATTTCTGCAGAGTGTCTATGGTATGTGTTACTCAGTCACCATCTTGACAGATGTCAGCCCTGATGAAGTGATTTTTAAGATGTGCAGATAATTGAATGACATATGGATCATGGGCCTTACACAGGTATGCCACTTCATTGCTTGGGAAACTGGATTAAATGTTGCATGGCCTGATAACAGATGCCTTTGTCTTTATGTTTATCCTTACAGTAGTGGTCTCATGCAATGTTTGTCCTTTTGTAATTAACTAACTTCACTCAGCATAATGGTTTCCAAGTCCACCCATGAGGTTCTTGGTGCTTTCATCACAGTGTTTTAGGAATGTGTAGTATTCCATAATAAAGGAGAGGGACAGTTAAAAAGAGGAAGACCCTGGATTGAGTCAGTGGCTACAACAATGTGCTTGAACATAAAAAATTATGTGACTGGCTCAGGATGGGGCAGTGTTTCATTCTTTGTACATAGGATCACTGTGAGTGACAACTGATTTACTGGCACCTGACAAGTAATCCATTGTGTGTATGTATGAGAGTTTCTTTATCCATTATTCTACTTATGGGTGTTTGGACTTTTTCCAGATTGCTGCTATTATAAACTGTGCTGAGATGAACATGGGGGAACATTGTTTGCTGGTATTGTGTATCTTATTTCTTTGGCTTATATATACAGCAGATGTATTACTAGATCATATCAGACTTCTATTCCCAGTTGTTTTAGGTAGCACGATATTGCTTTCCACAATGGTTGTACATTTACAAACCCATTAGCAATGTATGAAAGTTCCCATCTCTTTACATCTTCTCCAGCATTTGTTGTTTTCTGTTTTGCTTGTTTTTAATCGAGCTATTGTTGTGAGTGGAAGGTGATATCTCATCAATGTTTTGATTTGCATCATCAAGAGAGCTAGTGATTGTGAGTATTTTTTCATGTGTTTGTAGTCATTTCAGTGTCGTTTTTCGTGAATTGTCTGTTCATGGCTTTTTCCCACTTGTTAATTGTATTATTTGTTTATTTTTTTATTGAGGTGTTGCAGAACTCTGTAGATTTTAGAAATTAGTCCTTTGTCCATTTTGTCATTGTTAAAGATGTTTTACCCTATCTTTGGGCTCTCTTTTCACTCTTCTGATGAAATCTTCTGGTGCACACAGATTTCTTATTTTTAGTAAACCACAGTCATCTATTTTGTCTTCTACTGTCTGTGGTTCCTTTATTATATCTGGTAGTATGTTTATGCCCTGCACGAGGGCACTTAGATGTGTCCCTGTTTTCTAACTGATAATCCTTATAGCTCTGAGATTTACATTTAGAGCTCTGATCCAGCTTGAGATAATTTTTGTATATGGCGGAGTGGCGAATAGATCTTGTTTCATTCTTCTTCAGCTTGAAATTCAATTCTGAAAGCATCAATTGTTGAAAATGCTGTCTGTTTCCTATGTAATGTATTTTTACCCTTTTTGAAGATTTGTTGCCTGTGAGTGAATGGAGTTATTTCTGAGTTTTCTATTTTGTTTCATTGGTCTATGTATCTATCAGTGTACCAATGTCAGAATTTTTAAACTACTGCATTTATGTAATAAATTTTGAAGTTGGGTAGTGAAAGTCTTCCTACATTGTTCCTCTAAGGAGTTGTTTGCTTGTACTAGGTCTCTTCCCTATTCATATAAAGTTGGTAATTAATTTTTCCATTTATTCAAAGAATAAAGCTGGCATTTGGATTAGAATTGTGTTCTTTGTATAAATTACTTTGGGATGTATTGACATTTTCACAGTGTTAAGTGCAAGGACCTAGAATTAGAAAATCAAAAGGAAGAATACATTCAGCATATGTAAAACTGAAAGAACTAAAAAAAAAATTCAAGCATTCAATTTCAATTTTGAGACATCCTCTAGGCAAAATACTGAACGATGTAGGAAGCATCAGGAGAAGATGGAAGACCACACAGAATCGCTGTACCAGAAAGAACTAGTCAATAGTCCCCCACTTCAGTAGGTAGCATTTGAGCAAGAACCAATACTGCTGAAGAAAGAAGTTCAAACTGCTCTGAATGCATTAGACAAAAGCAAGGCTCCAGTAATTGATGGAATACCCATTGAAAGGTTTCAGAAAGCTAAAGAAGCCCTGAAAACACTCATTCATTTATAGCAGGAAATTTGGGAGATAGCTACCTGGCCAATTGACTGGAAGAGATGCATATTTGTCCCCAAAAGATGATGTTAAAACTATAAAATGCTATCCTTGATAACACACTCAAGTAAAATTTTGCTTAAGATCATCCAACAATGGTTGCAGCAACACATTGACAGGGAACTGCCAGAAGTTCAGGCCAGGTTCAGAAGAGGAAATGGAACAAAGGATATAATTGCTGATGTCAGATGAACTTGACTCAATGCAGATAATACCAGAAAGATATTTATTGGTTTTTCATTGATTATGAAAAGGTGTTTGATTGGGTAGATGGTAATAAACTGTGGATAGCCTTGAGAAGAATAGGAATTCCAGAACACTTCATTGTGCTCATTCAGAGCATGCTCTTTACACGGACCAAGAAGCAGTTGTGAAAACAGAACAAAGGAATACTGCATGGTTTAAAATCAGGAAATGTGTGCGTTAGGGTTGTATGCTGTCAGCATACTTGTTCAATCAATATGCTGAGTAAGTCATCAAAGAAGCTGGATTATATGATATCAGGATTAGAGGAAAGCTTATTAACCGTATGTATGCAGATGACATAACTTTGCTTGCTGAAAGGCAGGAGGAATTGAAGCACTTGCTGATGAAAATAAAGAATAATAGTCTTCAATATGTAAGGAAGACCAAAATCCTCACAACTGAACCAATAGGTTAAATCATGATAAATGCAAAAAAAAAAAGTTGAAGTTATCAAGGATTTTATCTTCCTTGGATCCACAAACAATGCTCATGGAAACAGCAGTCAAGAAATCAAAAGACATATTGCATTAGGTAAAGCTGCTGACAAGACCTCTTTAGAATACTGAAAAGCAAGGATGTTACTAAGGTGCACCTGGCCCAAGCCATGGAATTCTCCACTGCCTCTCATGCACGTTAAAGTTGGACAATGAATAAGGAAGACAGTAGAAGAATGGATGCAGTTGAATTGTGTTGCTGGAGAAGAATATTAAAAGTACCGTGAACTTCTAAAAGGACAAGCCCGTCTGTATTGGAAGAAGGCCAGAGTGCTCCTTAGAGGCAAGGATGACATACTTTGGACATAATGTCAGTTGAGACCAGTCCCTAGAGAAGGACACCACATTTACTAAGGTGGAAGGGTTTTTAAAAAAAAAGAAAGAGGAAAGCCTTTGACAAGATAGAAGGACACAGTGGCTGCATCAATGGGCTCAGGCATAAGAACCATTGTGAGAATGGTGCAGGATCGTGCAGTGTTTCAATCTGTTGTGCATGGGGTCATTGTGGATTGGACCCGACTCAATGGCATCTAACAACAAGTAAAGATCATTTTAGATGCAAAGACTTATCTAGTCCTTTGAAGTTATATTGCTCATTTTTAAAATATCATGAAAGGCCAGAAAAAAATACTTATTGACAAAGTCTTCTGCATTACAAAAGTGAGCTGAAAGTAAGGTGAGAAAATAAAAAAGGAGACTGGCAGAACACAATTTCCACAAATACTGTAAGTGCTGCAGCCAGCTGTGATCTGCCTGAGACTCATCGAGTAACTCCTGATGATCCAATATTGAGTCATGAGGGAGAAAGAGAGGGACTTGAGACACAGAAGACCCTCCCAAGCGTCTCTCCTCACCAGTGTTTGTTTTTACACCAAAGGAAAAAAGTTCACAAAAGTTTAAATGCAGAGATAATATTAGGGCAATGACTTCAGGCTCAAGGTTATTTCATTATTCATAGTCAACATAATTAACAAACATTTTTTAAAATGTATGTGAGCACATTTTCACCTGAAGATTTTTTGGGGGGCCACCACAAGGAATCTCTTTATCTCTCAGCATTTGCAGCAAGTTCCTGGATCATGCAAACAGTTAAGCACTTAAGCTTTTCTCATAGTCTATGCACCCAATCAATATTCCCTGAGGGAAACAGGACAATATTTACCTAAAAATAAAGTAATGTGTAACACGAGGACCAATGATTAAAAAGCCCCAAGGCATTGATAATGAGAAGCAGCATATGAAATAAAGTTCATGACAGCTACTGTGTTTACAGTAAATACCCTTATAAATATGTTTTATAGTGAGCCAATTATAAGCTTAAAATGCATATTTTAATAATGTCAATAAAATACTAAAATCCAAATTCTGAACTCACTTTGTTAATACTGCTTACATCTTTTATTTCTGCTACATGCTAAATTCTTATGTCAATTTCTCTTTTTAGGTCCAATTATTCTTGACTTGACATGAGGAAATAATGAGAAATCATACAACAGTAACAACATTCATCCTGCTGGGGATGACAAATGACCCAAAATTACAAATTTTGATTTTGATATTTTTATTTCTCTCCTACCTTTTGAGTGTGGCTGGGAACCTGACAATTATCACCCTCACACTTCTGGATTCCCATCTTAAAACTCCCATGTATTTTTTCCTTCGAAATTTCTCTTTCTTAGAAGTCTCATTCACCACTGTCTGTATTCCCAGATACCTCTACAGCCTGACAACTGGAGATAACACTATTACCTATAATGGTTGTGTCAGCCAATTATTTTTTGGTGTCCTCTTTGGAGCAACTGAATTTTTTCTCCTTGCTGTCATGTCCTATGATCGCTATGTGGCCATCTGTAAACCGTTGCATTACACAACCATCATGAACAACAAGGTGTGCACTAAACTCATTATCTTCTGTTGGGTGTCTGGTCTGTTGATTATCCTTCCACCTCTTAGTGTGGGTCTTTACCTAGAATTTTGTAACTCAAATCTCATTGATAGTTTTGCATGTGATGCATATCCTCTCATACAGATAGCCTGCTCAGACACAACACATATAGAAAAATTAATTTTGGTTTTTGCTGTGCTAACACTAATTACGACCCTACTTGGTGTAGTCCTCTCATACACATACATCATAAACACCATTGTAAAATTCCCTTCTGCTCAACAGAGGAAAAAGGCCTTTTCCACCTGTTCATCTCACATGATTGTGGTTTCCATGTCCTATGGTAGCTGCATATTTGCCTACATTAAACCTTCAGCAAAAGTAGGAGTAGAACTTAATAAGATTGTAGGTTTACTCACTACTTCAATTGCCCCTACGCTCAACCCATTTATTTACACTCTTCGAAACAAGCAAGTGAAAGACGCCTTCAAAGACAAAGCTAAAATAATTGTACTTCTCACTAAAAAGTAAGAAACTATTGATATTTTGGAACTAAGTTAAGTTTAAATCTGCATAACCCATGAGCATCTTTCAGTATGCCAAATATAAGGATTCCTCCTATTCTATATATTCGTCAAACTACCTGTCTCTGTGACATTTTTCTCATGAAAGAAAATACACAAAAGCACTTAATTCTCCCTCAGATTTATTCTTAAGGTCTTTTCCATAAATACCTTCATGAAAGACTAGATCCTCAAAATACCCGATGCTATGCAAAGGAAAT